TGCTTCAAATGAACCCTGCTCGGGGGTTTAGGCTTGCTGGGTGCTCTTTAATTTTTGAGCACAATGAAGTGGCCTTGATATTCCAATTGCATTATGAAAGATCTGTTTCCGAACAGCTGAAGAGGGGGAATGAAGCATGTTTCTTCTTCCTACCTAATCAGGCTGAAGTTTCCCGGTGCCAGCCTCAATCTGTGTTAAATTGCTCATGCCATCCACCAGAGAGATTAGACTTGGGTACATAATAGAAGTTAATTCCAAAAGTGATTACTCAGATAATGAAGTACTACAGCTGCAGTGGGTGATTCTGGCTCTTGGAGCCCCCTGCTCAGGTGCTTTATGTCCTTCCCTTTCCCTCACCACCACTGTGGAGATGCCACCTCCCCTCCCGCTGGCCGGTGTTTGGCTGGGGCAGATCCCTTCTCCTCAGCCCCCTGCAGAGGCCACATGTCCCCCCAGCACCTCAGGGGTTCAGCTCAGGGCTCCACAGCACCAAGCACCAGAGCTTCCAAGCACAGTGGAGAAACGGGCTCTTTATTACGAACCACGCAAAGATCAAGGGCCAAATTTACTAAAGGTATCCAGGTGGCTCATCTTCCCTGGGGAGCAAAACTCCCTGGAAAAAAAAAGGGTGGTTTAGAGGTGGCATCTGAATTTTCCAGCTTCTGAGCCCTTGCCAGGAAAAGCAGATGATTAGCTCAAATGCACCTGTCTTGAGATTCAGCTAAATGGATTCCTGGGTACCCCAGTTAAAGAAGAATAGAAGTAGTCCCTGTTTAACTCTGCAGAGGCAATGGCGGCGGTGTGATGGACCCAGTGCAGCCTTTACCTAAGTCTAAAGCAATGCCAGAAGATGGGCTCTGGAAGACAAGCTCTGGGATAGGAGTCAGGATGTCTGTGCTCTGTTACCACCATTAAACAGTTCCTCTGCCACGGTTTCCACCACCTCCCATCGAGGAGAGTCATCCTTAATATTGACAAGGGCACCACAAACCTTTACTGTGACAGTGGAAAGATTTCAAGTAAATCAGAAGTAGTTTAAAGTGGCAGAGCGAGCGGAAAGATATCTTGTATTTCCGCTCCTCCAGATCTCCAGCAGTGTTTGTTCTTCTTGTGTCTTCAGATTCCAATTTGACCTCCCATTCTTCGCCCTAAAGATGTCAGTTCTGATCCTACGGAAACCGCACCGCTGAAGCCGGCTCTGTCTCCAGCTGTCTCGCTCAGTTATTTTCTTAAGCGCAACTGGTCGCCACGAGTGCCATCAGGCATTTTGGGTTATGAATGCCATCCATGGACCCTGTAACAGCAGCTAAGGGACCTCAAGGTACTTCTTTCCACATGGCTACGGCATGACACAACCCCCATCTGCACACGGCCACCGGAGCACAAGCCAAGCCGCCTCCCGGCCGGTGCTTGCAAAGCCCCATGACGAAACGCATTAGCTCAGTGCAAGCCAATACAGCACACAAAAGGAAGATCATCTTTTCTGCCGGACATGCTACAAAAGCAGATCACATGCCCTCACTGTTTTCTTTCTGGAGCCAGAGTGAAATATCAAAGGATGATTCAAAACACATTTGGATATGCTTGAGGTAGGAGGGCACAGGGCAGTATCTCCACCAGGCCATAGAAACCCACCCCGTATTCACTCTTTGTTCTTTCTTAACCTCCCCCACGTTTGACAGCTCCTGGCATAAGTCCAGCGCCATTGCATCCGCAGCACTGCCAGGACCCACTCCACATGCTGAGCAGTTTCTGAAGGAAAAAACGTTTCCTGACATCTGTTCTGAATTCACTGCTCTTCTCCTCCCCCACTTCGTTCCACCCCGCACTCCTCTTCAGCTCCCCCTCCATCCCCACCTGTGCCCCCAGCTGACCAAGGCTCACCAACAAGAGCTGAGGACCTTTGTGGAGAACTGCTGACCCACACCTGTCCCTGCCCTGTCCCTCCCCCTGTTAATTTTCTCTGTCTGCTGTTGACACTACTCTTAGCAATGGCACCAAGCAATCCGACCCGAACCCAGCAAACCACTTGTACACACGCTTTCTTCCACATGTCCAAGTTTCTCCTAATAGAACCACAGCCATGAGCCTTGGCTAAACCAAAAGGACCTTTGCAAGGACCGAACCCAGAACCAGGCTCATTACTCTTTCAGGATGAAGCTGTTGCAATGCTAATGATTCCAGGGTTGAATTTTGCCTGGTACGCTTCGATCAAGTTAGCAGGATACGGAACAATTTCCACAATTATTGGATTCCCATCAGAAGTTTTCCCTCGTGCTCTGCCTCGCCTTGTGCTAGCTGAACGGTCTTTTGCAAAAATGTTCTGCATCAAAAACACTCAAAAGACAATAAGACCAAGAGACACAAGCTTTTTTCTGCTGATTTTGCACATAAAAACATGGGTGCCGTTTCAAGGAACAGAAAGTCACCATGATCTTGACACTTGCCCCTGTACTGCATAATTCTAAATAACCTGGATATCTCAGCGCAGTCCCCGAGGTTTTGTTTTTGGCAGGACATGACGGACACCACAGCATACACCAAGCATGTAGTAGATTTTATTAAGCCTAACTTTGGTTCTAAGTATTCCACCCTCATTCTCGTAATACCTTTAGTTAAAAACAATTATACAAGAGCAAATACAAAAAATATTAAATTATGAAAACAAATCCATTAAGGCTCCCTTTTTATATTTATATATATTTATATATGTACACTCGGACAAGTGCAGATATTAACAGAAGGTTAAAGCCACAAAAATGCTAAAAAAATGTACTACCATACTATCAAAAAGCAAAGAATTTTTAAAAACTACAAAGTGGTAAATGAGCCATTTTCAAATCATTGAAATATTTGTCAGATTGCTTCAAAGCTGTATCGCTAAAGGGCTGATCAGCAAGTGCTGACACTCACTGGCAAACAGTTTCTCACTCGAGTAGCCACGCAGGGTTAGGGTTAGGGTGACTTGTGGTGTGACTAGCTCACCACCCGTAAGGGCTGCCCATTCTAGCCCAATTCCGACTTTAAAGACAAGCTTCTGCCCATCAAATCAACACGAAGGCGGCTGGGATTCCCAGACTCAAGGGTCAGGAGAATTTAAAGATGTTCTAACACACGCGTCGATGTTCTGTTCACACAGAGAATTAATTCTAACTGAAAACAAACCCCCACTTCACGCTGTATGTACAAGGGAGTTTTCTGGCCTCCTGTGTTTCAGAAAGAGAAACTCTACCCTGAATCACAAGCCAACGTGGAGAGAAAGCAGAATGCCTTCAGCCTCGAAGGACCCAACCCAGCGCACTCACTGAAGCCCAAGAGAGGTCCATGTCCCCCACCGACTCCGGTGCCATTTGGGTTACACCAGCTTCTCTTCATCGCGGATGGATTGCCATGTTCATCGAGGGGAAAAGGCTGAGAAGAAGTGGTCTGCTCAGGCCAAAGGACGGTTTCCTCACCAACTCGAGATGTCTCCGCACTGAGCGGACGGATAACTGTGGAGTGGAAGCCAAGAGGGATGAAGTTTAGTAGGCTGAGAGCAGCTAAGATAAAACATGAGCGTGGCAGGGAAGGCTCGTAGATAGTGCTGTCTCAACAACGTGAAATAAAATCAGTGCAAGTGTTTGAATAAGGTACTGCCAGAAAGGAAGATCTTCTCCTTCCAGAAGAAGGGAAGGAGAGAGGGAAGAACCTGCAGCACTCAGGGTGTTCCTTTGTTGAGAAAATACATGGAAGTGTCTTAATGTTTGGCCTTTGTCTTTTGTATGTCCATAATCTGAACAATCAGAGAGACCATCTTCATTCACATTTAATCTTCTAAACGTGAGTCGCGCTGCAAGTCCAAATCAATGGCAATACGCTTATCGCAATTCAATTTACTCTCAACCTGGTTATGTTCTTATAGAAAATGCCTGAATCTTGACAAATTGAAGTCTGTATCTAGGAAACATTTCAAATTGTGAGCATTTCGTGCCAAGTGCTATGCTGGAACTGTATTTAAAACATCCAGTACTTACAGGGAAGGCAAAAGGAACTAGAAGCCAAACCAACAAACTCTTCCCCCATCACCTTTACAATACAAACATCCCGCTGTTGATATTAATAAAAAGTGTTCTCCAACAGCTACGCCCAATGTAATTACAAAGTAGAAATTATTTTGTTTAGCATCCTAAGGCAAAGACTAGGATTAGATCCCCAGCTGATACGGATGAGCACAGCTTCCGTGAGAGTAGGACTGTGCCAACCAAGGAAGATGAGGATTTATCCTGATTCTGAAGATATCTGCACCCCTACACACCAGGTAAGAATCCAAATCTATAATCCTATATGAGCAACCTGTTTCCCCCTCCTCATCCCAGGCTCTCCTGGATAACTAGTAGTCACAAGCATAAAGGACCAGATTCTCCCATCCCTGTGCAAGCTGAGCGATATTTTATTTAATGGCAACTCACAGGGACAACTTGTGGAAAGGCAGCAGGTGACAGAAATAGACCCCAAGACTCAGTGGTAACACACCTACCTTCTTTCTCGAGGCTAAAGGAAGGATGGGGTAAAATGAATTTCATTTTATGCCTTGCTTCAAGGAAAATCAATTCCCTTTCAGTAGATTCCAATGATAAGTTTGGTCTGGTTTAAACACTGCTCTGTTGCAGGAACTGCAACAAGTTCCTGCAGGCAAAGAGCAGGAACTGATGGCAGATCAGATTCGTGATTTCAGTTCCAGCAAATGAGTTTAAACTCCACCAAGTAATGTGTTAACACCGTACTCAGATCAGCGCATCCTTGGAGGAGAAAGGCCACAATAGCAAAATAAGTAGGATTTCAAAACACAGAAAGAAGACAGGTCATTTTGCATTGAGAGGTAAATTCACAGGTAGCACTGCACAGGCCTGTACACAACGGTGTAAGTCTAGAGAGAGAGTGAGAGAAATCAGCTTCTGGATTCTCCCTGGTGAGAGCATCATCAGATTTCTGCTCTTTCATAGCCTAAATTCTGCATGCCAAACCCGCAGAAATGGGCTTTAAGGCTGCTTAACTTTTCACCGCTGGTGAATTTTAAGCATTCCAATCTTGCCCACACCTGTTTATCCTAGTGGGGATGGGTGGGGATGGGCAGCAGTGATCAACACACCTCCCATATTCGACAAAAACTCCAACCAAACACAAATTATTGTGGGATATACACAGGCTGTAGGTCTAGATGGAGGAAATCTACCTGCACAGCAAAGCTTCGTAAGATACCACAGGAGGATTTTTGTTCTGTTTTAAAGCAAAATAGAATCTGTGTGTCTCCACTGAACTAGGATCACAAGAGATAAAGCAGTGCAACACTGAAGCAGTTGTCTCTAGTATCCCTGGTTAAAATCTCTTGAGTAAGCACGCCAGGCTAGTCCGTGACACTGAACTGACAAACCGACTCCTTCCCCGTCGATCTCAGGACTGCATTTGGCAAGTCGATCTGGTTCTGGTACTGTCTTATTAATCGCACGTCCCAGGAATTAAAAATCTCATCTTCACAAAGCGTCAGCTGGATGCTGTGGGGTTTTCTTCCCTCCTGAGGAGCAACTCTGAGACAACTTGCAAAAGCCTCTCTCTGCAGAAAAGCTGGAAGTCTTAGCAGGCGCTGGGTCTAGGAATCTGGTGCTTCTGTTGCTTCCTGGACCGTCCTCCTCAAGTTGCCCTTGACTTTGACAAATTCAGGCGCGTTTTCCTGCTCTTCCTGTATCTTCTGTTGCTCCAGTTCCAGCTTAAAAAGGAATCATATGGAAAAAAAAAAAATACATAAACCAGATCGTTGAAATACAAGACAAAAAAATAAGGTTTCAATAACTGGACATGTAAAATGTTTTAAATTGCTTCCTTTCTTTCTGTCATGGAAAAGATAAAGTTGCATTTCTTTGGGGGTATCTGTTCTCATAAATGCTAAGTATTTTCAAATGCTTGGCACTAGCTCGTTCCAGATGTCCACCTTTGCCAGATGGACAAAAACCTCTGCAAGCCCAGTACAAGAACAAGATGAAGCATTTTTGAAGAAATTCTTGGACATCTTCATTAAAGAAACAATGATAATTCCTTTCTCTGGCTTTTACAACGGGACAAGGACAAATGCGCTTTGTGGGAGAACACATGCAAGGAGCTACTATTAAGCACACTCGCAGAATTTATTTCAGAGTGTCTAGATAGGGATTTTGGCATCTAACCTGAGCCTCTTCTGGTTCATGTGTTTCGTGTATCACAAAAAGCAGTAAAAAAAAAATCCTCCTTGACCCTTAGTTACTAATTTTTGAGAGCCCATTCACTGACATTTTTAACTCAGTTAGAGCTTCTGCTCTTGCAGACACTTGAAATTACTGAGCAAGGTTAGAATCTGCTCTGCGGAGTGAGGCTATACAGTGCCCACAGCAAACACGGCTTACGCACCCGCACAGAATGCAGATTGCTCAGCAACCTTCAGTTCCCCAGGGAAGGCAGGTAAGTCAGGACAAAGGAAGAAACAGCCCTTTAGAAATCTAACAAAAGCTTCCAAAACGAGCTTTTCAATTTTTTTAATATTTTTTTTTAACAGACCAAGGTCTCCCTGATTAATGGAGACCATGTATCGCTCACCTAAATAATCTCTTCTTTGTCCATGCCTTGTCTCAATAAATCATGACAACATTCCTCCAAGAGTCGTGTTTCAATTAATGCCATTCCTATGACGTTTACAGAGTCACAAGAGTGTTTGCAATGGGAAAGTCTTTCCTCTTTTAAGATAATTTTCTATTCTACGTATGTCCTTGGATGGCTTAGTTTCAAATCAAATCTTTCTACAAGCTGAACTGTTTGAAGCTGGGGCCTTAAAAGCAGGAAGGAAAAGTGACAGGATGATAAACTTAAAAATACAACAGCTTTCTCTCTTCAAAAATATTTCTAAGCCTAACTAAAAAGCAACTATAATAAAAACCCTCAAATCTAAATAATTATTAATTTTCAGTTGAGTAACTATTTGCCTTTATTGGTTTCTGCTGAGAAAAACAGAAGATTCTGTTTTGAAGCATTCGTTTATTTAAAAATAAAAGCAGTGCTTGATGTGTGGTGACTTCCTGATGAGGTGTTTCACTGTAGAGATATTTCCTTGCAGGTACACAAAGTGCCTGAAGAGGCACGAGATGTCTGGCTGGGCCTGTGCCTGGCTGTACGCTTCATCACAAGGAACTCCAACTCCACATCACCTCTATACTCTGAATATACTTTTCTTTATTTGAAAACGCCAACAGGCTCATACGTTTTAAGTTCACAAAAGAACATTTTAGAGTCACTAAGTTTCTTACATAACCCAGGAGAGAGAATCAGTTGATTTTTTTTTTATTCATTGAGCATTTAGATTTCAGGTGCTGCAGCCTAACAGCCATTCCTAGTGGAGCACCTCCTAACAGAGATATTATACATAATTTAATATTAAAAATAATCCTACAAAGGCTGACTAATTCACCACAGTTTCAATGGTTAAATAAGTTCAGTGCTCCACACAGATTTGTGCTGTCTGGTGCTGGATTCATTTGACCAAAGGCAGACACCATGTGAAGTTTCTACATAGTAAGTGACAACAAACAGGTAACTGGGGAGTGTGATTTGACTCATCCTAAAAAAGGCATCTGCATTTGGTCAGAGGAAATGTGCTAAAAAACAGCTGATGCTTCTTTCCTGTCTACAAAAGGAGACTTGAGTAGCTCAGGTGTAGATGTGTCTAAGTAGTGTTATTACCCATCTTACCTGCTCCAGTTTCTGCTGCCGTTTCTGTAGCTCTATTTCCAGGTCTGATTTCTTCTTTTGTGCTTCCTCTTCTTTTTGTTGTTTAATAACTTGATCTCGTTTCCTTTTCTCCATCACCTTCTGTAGCTCTGGTTTGTTCTGAGGGGCAAGACCCCTTCAAATCAAATGGCACGAGTGGTGGGGGTAGGGGAAACAGGGAAGAAAGAGATCAGTTTTAATTAGCAGAAATTCACACAATATTGTAGGAACGTTTTTCTAATATCAAGTAGTTGCTTATTTAGACACATTGAAATATAAATAATTAATTAAAACGACGAAACATGCAGACATTTGCCCAAGTTCTAACCAAAACCCTAGAGTTTAAGCTATGTTATTACGAAGGATCTCCCTTTAACTCACATGCTAGAATTTCTCCTGTATAATTCACTATTTTAACTTTCATTTTTAGTCTTCCATCCATTCTCTCAATTCCTGAAGAATGGATTTAAAAACAAAAAAAATAAATCACAAATCCAGACTCTGGCAGAGCTATAAACAAATTTTGGAGAAAGACTTTCCTTGCAGGCTGGTAACTCGAACAGATTGCGTTCAGACAGTCCCGTGCAGAGTGTTGTGCCCACAGAAATTTGCACAGACATCACTAAGAAGTGGTCTCCGTCTGGATTTTGTCATGCTGCTCCTGGAAATTGTGGATTCTGGCCGTCCTTGAAAATGGGAGAGCTCTTCCCACATCTGACTGTGAAGCTATTTCCAGTGAGAGCTCCCAGGCTGTGCTAAAAAGTCACACAGAGGCTAAGAGAACAAAAATTCAAACCAAAAAAAGTTCTCGTCACCCTGGAAAAACGCTGGAGGATTCTCCCTCTTGCCTGAGTTTAGGTACTACATCAGCTGAGTGTTCCAAGTCTGTTCAGTACAAGCTGCTTTCCAAGCCAACTGCTCCAAAATGAAAAAATTTACATGTGATTTTATCTATACAGGCACACACACAGATACACGCTCACTCCTACCTGTTTTTGTGACTACAGCTACTTCTTTTATCTCTGTTACATTATGTTTTCAAAATTTGCTATGATAAGTTTCAAAGATCTCCCTGCTGTTCAGGTATTAGCATCACTTGAGTCAGAGCAGAAAGATCCAAAATTTGCCTCTGTTACCGTTGCCTTTCCTGTGAAGACTATTTTGTGAAAATATCCAGCATTAAGTTTAACATCAACCATTTTTTATTTCAACTTCAAGAAATGCAATAATCTGAACAAGCTTTCAGAAAGTGTATTCCCGGTACGCTGTACATTTGTGGTTGCTAATTCTTCCTTAATATGCGTATCTGACAGCATGTCCAATAATACATTAAAATGCCATTTTACGGTGACATCTACGAATGACTCCATAGAATATGCAACGCTCTACCCCTGTGCATACCCTGACAGCAAAATCAAATATTTAACAACACCCTATTTCTCATAATAGATCTCATGGCCTGAATGCAACAGCTACAAGATTGTGTTCATATTTTATGTTTCGTGCTACTTTAATTACGTTTTCATGCATAAAACTTGAGTCAGGCAGAGAAAAACTGGAGCCATCTTTTTATTACTATTACTACTGCTGGATTAGTGAGAGCTGAATCAATAGAAACTTCCATGTTGGCAATTAATGATCAAGACAGCCACGAACCAGAAGCAAGCTGCCAATTCACGTTACTCGTTCCCGCATTTTTTCAGTCATAGAGGAGAGGTGCAAGACTCCTTCAGATGTGCTGCAGCTACAACAAAGGGAACCTGCAGAACATACAAGTAAACACAATCTCTCGGTCTAATCCAGTGGAGTTGGCAGTTAGTTCTGTAACAGAACAACTGTAACATCAACCCTGTTTCCACTCTCACATGGAAAAAAAGGAAAAGCAGCAACCAGTTGGCTACTGGATTAACTGGGAGTCTTGTATCACCTCCTAGTAATTGTTCTGATGAAATAAAGATTCCTAAAGCTTTGGTATCAAGCAAGTAAAACGTGCTAAAACACAAGTTAAGAGCTTACTAGGTTAAAACCTCTGGAAGGGAGAGGACCAATACTCTGCAGAGCTCAGGGTGACTCCTAACAAGTAAGAACAGTTTACAGTAAGTGTCCAGTGCCTTGAGGTACGGCTACCTGGATCTGTTTGCCTAAAACAACGAGTATTTCTGCAAATAAATAACTACATGAGTTCAAGACCCGACAGACACTGCTCACAGTAGGCAAGGAGAATGATCAGACCAGCACTGGCTAAATATCTTCTAAGATCCAGAGGTGGCTGTTCAGAGCTGACTGGTCAAAAAGTGAAGCTGCTGGTGCCTGTACTGAGTCTTCACAAGAAAATAAGGTACATGTTAAGGAGACTTCTCTAAGAGCACTAAAAGTCCTCCATACCTACAGCAGTGTGCAGTAACAAAGTAGAATATAAATCTAATATCTCCATTACTGAACAGCCTCATATCAGAGCTAGTACAGAGGCACGAAGCACAGAAGACTGAACTCTCTACTCAAAACCACCACTTCTGCTGGTGGAAACCCTCAAAGTATTTCATTTCTGTACCAATAAATCAGAAACTAAAATTAACAGCTGCAGCTAATCAGAATCACAGTAAGAGAAGAGCGTGTATTGAGGGCTGCACAACTCCTCTGTGTAACAGGATATTCTCCAGAAGAAAAGAACTCTGAACTATTTAAAAGTGCCTCATGGTTTCGTGAATTTTAAAGAAAAAAAAATAGCCTTAATTTATTGCAGTCTCCACATCCTTTAGAGTAAGATCATAAGTGAGAAACTTCAACTATCCTTCTCTCAATGACTATAAAATTCTTGGTAGTAAGAACTGACTTTGATGTTCAATCCCATTAAGGAAAAATAGGACAAACACCTATTTAGGCCAATTTATTACAATTCAATTGGCATTCAGTAAAACTTTTCTACTTCTTCATCACTAAAGAAATGCTGTATTGTGTAGGCAATTCATTTAGAATTAAGTATCTAAGCCTAGCATTTGTGAGGATTTTGTTATTATACATAGAAAAGATTCCCTTCTCCCCTCAAAAGACTGCCCTGTTAAAGAGAAATAAAAAAAAATAAAGAGAGAAACTTTTATACTGTGGCTCTTCCTGCCAAATAAGACAAATCCAGTTGTGCTGGAGTGGCCAACGCAGTAGAATTCTCCTCTCCTTTATCAAGGTGCTGGGTCTCAAAAGCCTGAATGGTTGGTATCAGAAACTCTTCTCAAACGCACCCTGAAATATCATTCTTCCACTTCTGTTTTGTGGATCCCCCCAAGTTTGCCTCTGGAAAGTCCATTCTGGGTGGTTTCAATGCATCAAATCACTAATTTGTATCATAGTTTCTGTTTCCTTAAATGGAAGAGTACCAACAGGCTTGGTGGCTTTCCCTCCGCCACGTGGTCTGGTGGCTGTTTTCAGAGAATCAGAGAATCATCACAGAGTCATTGTAGAATCAAAGATTCATGGAATGTGTTGGGCTGGAAGGGACCTTTAAAGGCCATCTAGTCCAACTCCCCTGCAGTGAGCAGAGACTTTTTTAACTCGATCAGGTTGCTCAGAGCCTCGTCCAGCCTGACCTTGAATGTCTCCAGGGATGGAGCCTCCACCACCTCTCTGGGCAACCTGTGCCAGTGTCTCACCACCCTCATTGTAAAGAACTTCTTCCTAATGTCTAATCGGAATCGACCCTGCTCCACTTTAAAACCATTGCCCCTCTTCCTATTGCTACCTGCCCTTGTAAACATACTCTCTTAACATGCTTTCTAAATGAGTCCTCCATTGCTGAAGAGATTTAATAACCCAACTTCAGCTATTTCTGGGCCAAGTGCCTCTGTCTCTGAAGCTGATGAAATCAAGTTCCACTTATTTAGATCTTTAAAAGTGAGATATAGAGCAACAGCTGTGCCTCCCATCCCAGATGGAGGAAGTAGCACTTGCACAACACACAAAGAAACACTCGTGCAACAGCAGAGCAGACACCAGACTATCCCACTGCACTGCAAGAAAGATCTAGTAAGTAGAGAACAGTTTTGTTTGAAATAAAATATACGATCTTTTCGATTTGAAAGTGGCCCCAAACACACAGTGTGCTATGAATGGTGAAAATCCATAGATTTTATCAACCTGCTGGTAACAGCAAAATTTTGTCAAATACTTGATAAAGTTAAAGAGTTCAGGACAAACGACAGTGTCCAGGTTAACAATATAAAATGTGCCAGAGGAGAACTGAACTGGTTCCCCTTAATGATTCTATGAAACTGACCCTTTGTGAGCGTTCACAAAAACAAAATGAGAAGTTTTTTACAGCAGGCTTTTGCAGAGCAACTGAAATTAAAACAGAAAAAAATGCCACCGTTAAGGATCAGTCTTTTCAGCTACAAGATTTGAATCAACAATACATGCCTGCTGGGTTTTGGGTAAAATGTCATTTTTATGAAAACCAAACTCAGACAGTGTGTTTGGGGTGGGAGGGTGGCACAGGTGATTTTTAGACTTACCTTTTCTGATTCATAAGCAGCTCTCTATGGAGATCTTGATGATTCCGGGATGACTTCACAGGATTAATTAATTTCTGAGGTCGAATTAATTCAGGATTGTCATCATCTATGTAGTCTGGTTCAGCCATAATCTTTCTTGGGAAGGGATACGGATCTTTGGGTTCAGCGTCCTTGTTCACAGTATCTGTAAAATGTGGCAAACTGTGGTAAATCTACACTGAAAAGTCTTTGAAAGACATATGAAAACATAAAGGCAGCATATTGTACTAGTAACAGTTATGCTTTTTTTAGATTTATTTTCTCTGTAGTAAGTAAAGGCTCTCAGAGTAAACACCAGTAGCATCTTCTTAAACAGACAGCTGTTTTACAACAATGTAATCTACAACAGCATTTACCTGGGCAACACAGATCACCCCTGTTTCAAGATGAACTAGACAAATAATTTAGGTTAAGCACTTGAAAGAGCCTTGTCGATTTGATCAAGCCTACTCAGACGAAGCATTTTTAGATCGGCAATACTGAGACCCTAAAGTCATTTAAAATACTGGCTACATTAAATACAATGAACGTGTAGTGAAACAATAGCGAGTCTCATTTTCTGCCAGCCATGGGAAAAACACCTTTTGTGGATAAAGCCTGAACTGTACTGGACCAAGCAGAAGCTTCCATGTGGAAACTGCCAGACCTGCAATTGTTGGGATGTGGGACGGATTTCTGAGTAGAAAGGTGCAGGAGAAAAAGTTGGGTGAGGTTGTTTCTTGAAGGACATATTTCCCCCAGTGAGAATCCACAGAAATGCACTGATTTGAAGGCAATGAAATCTTGATGATTGGTATAATCTGAAAATGTGGCATTTTCCTATCCTGCTACAGAAAATGTATCTATACACCAAATCACAGCACGTATAATCAATAGCTGACAAGTCAACCATAGTTTTCAAATAACTTACATTTGTCCTCCCTTTCCATGAAAAAGCCTCAGTCACAAAAATTCAGCATCCAAACCTAAGCACATTCAGAGTAATTCTGACTCCATATGCTGGCATGGAAGCCTGCACAAAGAATCTGCAGTCACCAGCAGTTTGCTGAAAAATTGGCCTCTCCAGCAGACCCCCCCCAAAAAAACCTCATAATCTCACAGCACATGGGTTTACGTGAATCGACGGGACGTGAAAGAAAAGGCGAGAGACCTCCATTAGCCTGACTGGCAGAACAGCTGAACGCTGCACACTCAACGGTGCGGGGCCAGGAGACACATCAGAGAATCACCGGGATTTGCCACACTTTTTCCAGCAAAAGCTGAGTATGTGCTTTAATTTAGATCCCACTGTAGCCAGCCTTTCCCTCCCTCTCCCACGGCAGGGGCTGTAAAACCTGTCGTAAGTTTAGTCTCCATTTAATCCTCAAACTATTTTCTATTAGGAACCTCACACTGTTGCTCATGCCTGATTCAAAATCCACTTGACAGAGGAGAAAGATTTCCACTAGTACTTCTGCACATTAATGCTGAACGGTAACAGCATCACCCTGCTTGGGCTGTGTGTGCGCTTACAGTCAAAGAACCAAACCCACGGGACTAAGTTTTCAGCAGATGCAGAGAAGCCACAATGGAGACCTCATTGCTCTCTACAACTGCCTGAAAGGAGGTTGTAGTGAGGTGGGTGTTGGTCTCTTCTCCCAAGTTACTAATGATAGGAGAAGAGGAAATGGCCTCAAGTTGCTCCATGGGAGGTTTAGGTTAGATGTCAGGAAAAAATTCTTTACGGGAAGAGTGGTGAGGCATTGGAACAGGCTGCCCAGGGCAGTGCTGGAGTTGCCATCCCTGGAGGTGTTCAAAAAACATGTAGTCATGGGACTTTGGGACATGGTTTAGTGGTCATGGTGGTGTTGGGTTGTTGGTTGGACTTGATGGTCCAATCATAGAATGTTCGGGGTTGGAAGAGACCTCTAGAGCTCATCTAGTCCAACCCCTCAGCCAGAGCAGGATACCCTAGGGCAGCCACAC